TTTTAAAAAACTGTTCGACAGTTTTGTTCCTTAACTCGTTTAGTATGTACACAAAAAATTTCGTGGAATTATCTCTATTTTCGTTGTCCCGCCAAGAATTGCAGTGGAACTTTTTTTTTCGAATTTTCAAAAACTAATTTCAGATTCGTGATTTTCATGTTAAAAAACCCCCAGATACCAAATTTCGTCGAAATCAGAAATTTTTTTTGCACCCTAGTTTAGGGGTGCGCCCTTTAGGGGTAGGAATTTTGAAAAAAAAATTGCAAAATCGGAAAGAGCATACCCAAAAACCTATTCAAAGACATGCCACCCGACTTTGTAACTCTTATGGTTGCTGAGAAAAAAATTAAAGAAGAAATGCAGATTTCAACACTCTTTGGGGGGTGGCTCCCAAACGAACCACGTTGGACCCTCGGTTTATTTGGAAAAAGTGCTTGTTTTGATGCCCTCTACAACCCGATTTTTTTTTTTCGAACGGTCGTGTAACACCCTGTATAGGGATTTACAATAATGACTTTTTGAGATTTTGACTTGGGTAATGAAGGGAACAATTTCCGAAACAAGAACAACTGGTCTTCAATTTTTGTGGTTCATAGCACAAATTTATTTAAACAATTATCACATCCGATCAAACTACGGCCCCATAGATTTCTAAATTTATATGATAACGATTTTCACAGGTGCGCGGATGTAAGAATGGTATTTTTCTTCAATTAGATGAACAGTTTTCGATATTTCGCATGGCTTCCGCAATGTAGCCCGGTATTTGCTGCGTTTTCAACCTTCCCCCATTTATCAAATTATATATCTGAATTCTGATCTAATTTACAACAAAATAAATGACTCATTTTTCATTACAAAAAATGTTTTAATAGTTTTCGGAAATTTTCCAATTCCAACACGACATTCGCCTGATGCTTTACGAAAATGGTTTATTTGGCTAGCCGTCAAACCTACAGTGGAATTATCAAAAGCATAGGTAGATTAAAAAATTATCAAAGTCCTCGTGTGGGATCGAAGAGAGATCAGCGCATTTTTGTGTGGCAGATCAGTATTGTATTAGCCACCATCAAAAAGATCTATATCGCACGCTAACACAATCCCTTTGTCGCTCGCTTTGTTGGTACCCCCTTCCGACGTCCCGTTCACCCACAATTCGCATTTAGATGAATTTTGCTAAAAACTCTCCACAAAATAGTTCTCATTTTTTGGGGCACTTCTCATAGCTCTATTAGCCACACGAGAAAGAGAGATCGCGATTCGAGCTTTCAGAAACAAAATTCGCAGAGGAAGATACCTTTTGGGCGCCCTAAGTCAACTACCCCTCGCAGACGTGCGCCTTGTAAAATGAGGTTAATTTTGTACCCAGGAAAACAATAAATTTTCGCCACGCAGTTGTTGTGTCCGTTTACAAGATCTTTCCAACGGCACCATTTTGAAAACAATCTGAAATGTGGTGGCCCCCGCCAAGATCTTACTGATGGTGGAGTAAAACTTCAAACGCAAATTAGGGATGCACGGGACGTCGGACGCGAGTACCGACGAAGGGAATGTGGTAGCTTCGACAAGATCTCACACGAGGACTTTGACAATTTTTTACTAACGACATGCTGAAATAAAAAATTATCACTGTAATACTACTAGTGCTTGCTATTTCCGGAAACTTTTCGAGCTCACACATATTTGAACTTTCGCAAAATATTCGTGAGCAAGAAAAAAATTCTATTCAAGCACTGTGGTATTCGGTAAGAAAATTTCACACCATAGTGACCCTCAACGAAAAAGTGACGTTTTATGTCAAAACATTATTACCTTTTTACGTCATAAAATTGACGATAAATTCCTTGGTTGCCATGGAAATGTGACACGAAATCCGCATTTCATTGGTCGACAAAATTGCCGGTTTAAATTTTCGTTGAGATTTGTCACCTAAACAAGATTATCAATTTTTGTATGAACGGTTTTTTAACAGAGCTGCTAGATTCAAGAAGGTGCCGACAACAAACAATTCTTTATGTTTATCTATTATAGGTACATCGTCCAAATTGTACATAATTTTTATGTAATCGATATTATTAAATTGCTTTTTGATAAGTAGGTAACAATACACCTACATTAAATGTATGAAAAAAATGTATGAAACGGGTCTAAAAAATTAAAACGTTGTTACTTCTCAATATTACATTTATTGATGTACAATATTTTTTTAATTATCGGTCAATTATCGTTGGTACTAATAGACGAATAAATGGAAGGCATTGAGATTCTTTTGTTACTGGTCTAATAGGGTCATAAACCATTGTATATAAGTATAATGGTCATTAGGTGTTAATATTTTCCAGGTAAAAGTGCTACCTGAGTTGCCTATCGTCATTGTATGGAAGGTATTGCATTTCTTCCGTCGCTATATTTTATATAAACTTTTGAGTAAAAATTACGGGTTATTTCATAATTTGAAGCAGTTCGTAAAATATTTTTTTAATCCACTTAGTTACTAAATAAATTGTGCGGATTTACTTTTTAAATATTTTTTTTGCTAAGGCCAGTATTCGCGTTCTTAGTAAATTCAAGATTATCGTTTATACACGACTTAAATAATTTTATCAAAAAAATAAATCGCTACATTTAATGACTTTCTATATCTGTATCAATTTCCGATAAGACCTCTAGTTAGAATTAATATTTGGGCTTCAAAAATTACTCAAAAGTTTCGACTTTTATTGCAAATTTCAGTGACCATTGTGTGTTGCCTATCCTCTATCCCTAGCCCCCTTAATTTGGGTTACCTGTCTATCCAGTACAAAGAGGTGCAGGTCGTATGACCGCGCTCTTCCTGTTACCATCCGTGGAAAAAGTATACGGCTGTATAGCCGTGCTCAGAATTAGGTTATCCCTGTGGTGAAATTTCGGTAGACGCTGCGAATGTAAATTCGCGCTCGACTGGAACCAGCCTTCCTGTAATATACCCCGAATATTGTTGTACTTGGGCTTATAACGTAAAACTTACTTGATTTGTATTGATCCCGTGTAAAGTTAAATCATAGAAGTTGTCTTTGAAACTACCTACCGGTGTTCATACTGGAAGCTAACGTGATATCATTTACAGATTAACAAAACTACCACGAGTGTCAATTGTCCCGGTTGACCCCTCCTACTTGGGTCGCATTCAATCATTTTTAGTTTTCTTTATTTTGTAAATATTTTGTGTACATATATTTGTTTAATTATATTTTCTTGTATTATAACAAGGTTTTAGTTTATTAAAAGTGGGGACCTGATATCTCCGGCTGTAGAGCTACGCAGCATCTCCCGGTGAACCTGAACCATAGGCAACCAACCATACAGTGTTGTATGGGTGAACAGGAGGACGTTTAGGAAAGGGAGATTTTTGGAGGTCCTTGGGTTACCAATAGGCAAAGGGTAGCCTGTAACCCTTAGGACCGTTACAATTCCAAAATCCATCATTTATCTTCTTTGATAGTTATTTACATATTAATATGGTAAATCAAGATTTACGTTAACGAGTGAGATATTTACTGTCGAAGCGTAGCTGAGGCAGGAATTTCGAACCGAGTATCGTAAAATATCTTTCCAATGAAATTCATTCCGATAAACTTGAGCATATGAGGAAAAGAACATTTCCTTTTCAGATTATAATGTTCTGGTGTTATATGTAATATTACCGCCTACAAATGAAATGCAATACGCACTCGAAATTTTCAAAAATGGAAATACTGATAAATGAAAGTTATCAGTGAGTTACAACTTAGAAGTTAAAAGTTATAACTTCCTGTTGGTCAAAATCTGAAGACTGTGACGGCGGCGACAGTCGGCGGAACGGCGGCAGGAACTGGCGGCACAGGAATGCTTCGGGCACCACCAGAAGTTTTCGGTCTGTCTTGCTTATGTGCAATATGCGGTCGGAATTTCCCTAACCTGGAACAGTAAATAATGGCATTCGGTAGCGGTTTCTACGGGAAAGCAAATGCAGGAAAGCGAGACAACTAATGAAACGCGAAGTAGCTCAAAGCTTACTCTGCAATTAACGGCGCGGTAGGAATTACTGTGCAAGAAAAAGCAAAAGCTATAGATACACTGCGGTAAAAGCACGATCTGAATGCAAAATAAATTTACGGAAAATCCAAAGTTAATACGATACTTACAAAACGTAAAAGATTCTACGTTTCGGTTAACTACCAAATGCAAAAGATTCCCTCTAAATTAAGCGTTTACCTTATATACCTAAAGTTCAGCTATGCCATAGAGGGAATGTAGAAAATTCCCAGTAAGTAAAAATACGGAACCCGTGTCAAAATTCAAGTTTTTTAAGGGCGCACTTAACGCATGTAATCTGGACTTAATCGGAGGCTGTTATCTGTAACCATTCAACTAATTACCATTAAGTATACTTATCAAAATCGTCGAAACAAATCTCTAAATTCGACACTCCAACAATGCCTATTTGTTCCTGGGAATGTGAGGTCAAGCGGTGTAATCAGATATCACGTTGATATTTTCCTTAAACTGCACGACCTTGCCTGGTTAAAGATGCATTTTCATATATCATTAGAAAACTAAAATCAATTAATGGATAATTAACGGACCTAAAACTTCTCTCTCTTCTTCTCTGGCAAGAGAGCTTTCGGCGACTCTAAAACAATTTAAATATTACTGCATGCGGCCTCTTACAAATTACAAATGAATCCACTAATTTCTACTTTATATTTCCAACACAAAAATAAACATTTTCGGAACGAAGCGCTTCTAGCTTCTAGATACCGGGTATGCAGCAGAGCTGGTCAACCCCACAAATATACGGTATGGTCATAACTTCGGGTCTGAAACTGCAAGGCTAGAAACGGGTGCTTCGTTACAAAATCTAGTTAATCCCACTGCGTTAAAATTTTTTGCGTTTATAACAACTACAATTTACTCCGATTTGACGTAATTTAATACGTCAGTTATTTCGTGATATTAAACTATCAGTTTTTTACTTTCAGGAAGAAGAACTAAGAGCGAGTGGTGATCCAAAGTTTCAACATTTAAGTGAGGAATTACATGTAGAAATTAGCGCCTTTGCAACTCCAGCCGAAGCTCATGCAAGAATTGCTTATGCACTGGCTGAAGTGCGAAGGTTTTTAGTTCCGGTAAGTTGCATTGATACCTATTTTACACATATTTTGATGGATTATTGGATATCTACTCACTGGTTTTTTGATTATTGAGCTTTTAACAAATGTACGTCAATTTCTGGTTCCCGTTAGCCATTCAGCAGTATGAAGTTTTCAATCGTATCATATACAGTGCTATTGATTAAGAAGTAGATATAGGGATTTATGTATATTGTTTTTCCCTATGTCTAGTTTCAAGACAAAATTGCTTCTGAAGGGCGCCTAATTTTATGCAACCAAAGTAACTTCTTAAAACAAATAAAGATTTGGCTGTCAATTTAATTAATTTGAATATTGTTGGTAAGGTCCGAGGTCAAGTCTGTAAATATACGTCAAAAGACGCACGTGCGAACAAAGACCCAACGAACAGTTGTGGTTTGAAAAAACTGATTTAATTTGTAAAAAAATATTAAAACTATCTTGCTGAACCCCAGATAACGGTAATCGCAAAACACAAGAAACTAGGGTTGCCAGGTGTCCTGGATTTCGCAGGATGTCCTGGATTTGAGGCTATGACTTAAGCGTCCTGCGAAGACCTCAGGAAGGACGCCTAATGTCCTGGATTTTAAAAAAGATTAAATAACAAATTGATTTTTTTACGCGGCGCTGCGCCCGTGCCATTTTTCGTTTATTACGAACGTAATTATATACTCGCGCCATCTTTTGATGAATAGAAAAAATACCATACTAACCACAGATCGCTTTTCGGCATGTACGCGTGTCTCCAACAAACAGCGCGAGCGCGACGGACCTGCGCGGTGATTTGGCGATTTGTGGTGTTTACTAAATGTTGGGTTTTGAGGACTGAGGTTATAATTTATAATATTTAGTACCAGGTATTCAGTAATTCAGTTATTACTGTTGTCAGCAGCCTGCAAGTATATAGTTGTTTATTATTTTTTAAAGTGTTTAGTAAACCTTATATGCATTTTCTTTCTGACCATTAGAAATTAAAAGGTAAGTTTTTTGGGTTGAAAAATATTTTGATACTTACTAAAGCATTTTTTGTGCTTCTTTTAGTATTTTGTAAAATGGATGAACAAGATGGTCCAACAACACCTCCAAAAAAGGCTAAAAGAATAAATAAATATAGAAAAGAATGGGAAAATACCTTTAATTGGCTCACAGAAGATAATCAAAAAGCTAGGTGCAATTTATGTAAAAAGTCTTTTTCATGTATGTATGGAGGTCTGGGTGACATAAAGAGGCACGCGGAAGGTGCTGATCATAAAAAACACGAAGTTGTGGTAAAACAAAATAAAACACTACAATCATTTTTGGGTCAAACAGAAGCTATGAACTCTCAGCAAGAAAAAATACTGGCCGCAGAAGTGACAAACGTGTATCACACTGTTAAACATGCTCATTCCTATAATTCATTAGATTGCACAACGCAGTTGCTTTCAGTAATGTATTCTGATTCCCATATTGCAACAAAAATTCGTTTGGGTAGGACAAAAGCAAGTATGATTGCTTTTAATGTCCTTGCCCCGTTTTCAATACAAAGTCCATTATGTGAGCTTAGCAAAGGAGTATTTTTTGGAATCTCTACAGATGCCTCCAATCATGGAAGCGCTAAATTATTCCCAATACTTCTAAGGTATTGCATTATTAAAGGTATTATATTTTTTAAGTTAAGATTTTTGTAGATATTATACACCATCAGAAGGAGTAAAATTATTTCTTCTTGATTTTTTCGAAGATCCCGACGAAAGCGCAAATGCCATTTACACCAATATAAAAACTAGAATTGAAAAAGCAGGCCTTTCATTAAACAACATGTCATGCTATTCGGCTGATAATGCAAGTGTAAATTTTGGACGCTTTCATTCTGTGTACCAATTATTATATAAGGAGAATAATTCAGTTCTTGCTGTGGGTTGTCCTGCGCATATGGTGAACAATTCTATAAAAAATGCTTTAGCAAAATGCCGTTTTGATGTGGAAACTTTGGTTTTAAAAACTTTCAGCCATTTTTCATCTCAAGCAAAAAGGTGCAAAGAGTTAAAAGATTTTTTTAATTTCGTGGATTTGGAATATAAAACTATTTTAAGGCATGTGCCAACTCGTTGGCTAAGTTTATTTCCAGCCATAGAAAGATTACTGAACATTTTCCCAGCCATCAAAAGTTACTTTCTTTCCAGGGAAGAAATTATTCCTATTGCACTTCAAGTTTTTTTCTCTGAAGACAATTTTATTGTACAGAAAACTGAATGTTATTTAAGTTTTTTTCACAACATACTGAAAATTGTTTTTGATACAGAGCAAAAACTTGAAAAAGCCGATTTACTTTGCTTCGAGGTTTATAATATTTTAAAATCTCTAAGAGAAAAAATTAATCAACGAATAAATGACAATTTTTTTGGCTTCCTAGCGTCAAACATGTTAAAAACTTTTGCTCCTAATGAACAAAGTCAAATAAGGGAATCCTTTTTAGAATTTTATAAAAATATTGTAATTTATCTTGATTCTAAATATGACTTTTCAGAAAATAATTTGTTTTCAAAATTAAATATTTTTTCTTTAAAAACAACTTTTAATTTTGACTCACTGATGGAAGTGGTAACCAACCTATCAATTGATGTAAATTTTGATAACCTATACGAAGAATTTTGTACAATTAAACCTACTATTGATAAAGCTTGCACTTTAACTGAGGAGTCTATTATACAGAAATGGAATAACATATTCCTAGGAAATCCTGAACTTATTAATTTTCTAAAAATAATACAATTTGTTTTTTCAATATACGGCTCAAATGCTGACTCTGAAAGAATTTTTTCTTTATGTAGTGCAGCTTGGAGCGACAGCCGCAATAAGCTCCTAGTTGATCATGTAAAAGCTGAGCTTCAGATTAAAACAAATTTTAATTTAAAGTGCAAAGAGTTTTACAATATAGCTGTTAAGAATAAAAGGCTGTTGCAAGCAGTCAAATCTAACCAGAAATATTCTTTCTCATTCAAATAACAATAATTTTTAAAGCATTTTCAAGCTCTTATATATCATTTATTTTTACAATATAAGTAGTAATGTAACCTATTTTAATTAATAAAAAAAATTTATTTGTAAAATAAACGTTTTAAGTTCAAAATAAAAACATGTCCTTCTTTATTTTTATGCGTCCTTCATTTTTTAATCTTGCGTCCTGTGATTTTTAAATTTGAACCTGGCAACCCTACAAGAAACACTAGATTAAAGTACCTACTTCATGCAAAATTGATTTGAATTATTAAAATTTTGCGCATATACCATTAACTTTCACGATTAACAAATTAGTGTATCAAATATAAGAGACTGCGTATAGTAAAACCGTTTTCGAGTTTTACAATGGAAATGAATTGACTACTTGTTAAGTATAAAAGGAAAACGTGATTTATTCTATTCTAACTGTTCCTTTCTGCTTTATTACCTCGTTCTCTTGTAAATAGCGTAACTTAATGGTCTTTCTGAAGCTTTAAATATTTTACGTCAACTAATTACATGAAAAAAGAGCTTTTCAAACGCTACTCACAGGATTAATCTGTAACCTGTTGCTACATTGATTTAAATATTACCATCAAGTAAATGCTTGTACCTGGTACGTCACAGTCAGTTAACTGGTTCTACATAGTAAAAAGAACGCATTATGAAATAAAATCGTTTCGGACATAAACGAGATTTGTTATACACATTACTTTTAATCCCTAAATTTATATCGGTCATTAAGATAGCTTTAAATTTTTCTTGTTTTTAGTGCACACATTGAACATTTTTAATATAAATAGCCTATTTTCGCTGACATGTCGGAACCTTTTGCTTACGAGGCGCTGTGACCGCTGTGTTTTTTAGTTTCTAAAACCATTAATTAGCATAACACAGACTCAGAGAGTGAAGAATTATGTGTGCGTATCGTTTCCGTGAATTGACAACCGGTTGGTAAATGCTCCACTGAATTGTTCAAACTCTATTATTATTTCATTTACATAGAAAACATGTTCCTTGCGGTAGCCTGGAGGCTTGAGGCATTTTATTTCATATCTTCATATGTTTGTAAGGTACTGTTTCACATATCCGACACATTACTGTTTAGTCCCACTAATGTAGCATGCACGTCTCGCTGAGATATTGTATTGGGTATCCGACTAACTCTCTCTGGGACATTGAAACTATCTCAGACACTTATTATATTAATGTCTCACGGACGCTTTAGACAGGTCTCATTTACACATCACGCCTGAGATGTAGTTTTAACCGCTCAGAGATTTTTTGATACATTCATGTTAGATAGATGACCAATTTCTGGTATATCTTTGTTTAGTCCTGGTGATTTGGGGGTATTATACGTCTCACTGAGATGTGTTGAATATTCCATTAATTACCTTTGGCACATGGAGTATGTAACACATCGCACTTGAGTTTTAATTGTTTGACATCTCAGAGACCTGTGGTTAGCTAGATGACCCTTTTTTGACCCATCTCTATTTAGTGCCAGCGATTTGGCACCGGAATGTTTTTTTTGCATAAAATATTAGATGAACCATCCCTGGGACATTGATTATGTCACATCTAAAACAGATGAGATTTTGAAATGTTAAGTGTATTTCTATTAGTGGCTTTGCTGTTGAACAATAAAACATGATTAATTTTATGTATGACTATTTCATTATATCTTTAGAGCTCGCCGTTGACTCATTGATTTCCATCTTTCTCCGGACAGTTGGCAACACATACTTTTTTTTTCCTTGAACGTGCATTTATTCAGATCTACAGGCAAGATCTTAACATTTACAATGTATAGGTATATTGCTGTGTTTATTTATGAAATTTTTGTGTTATTAACTATACTAATTAAATTTTATTAATTGTCGTTGGTCTATGTGACGGCATGGAGATTATTCTGTTATACGAGAAAACGGTCAAGGTTGTTTTTTTTTACATTTTTGTTAAACGTGGAAAGTTCCGGGAATTTTTGGGTCTTTATCTTTTACCAAATGTAA